GAGTCATTCTCCTGTTCAAATTTAAATTTAATTTATATCAAAGGGAAAAAAAAATTAAGTGTCGGGGTTTGTGCCCCCTAGTGATCTCATTTAATTAAAATGAAATATACTTATCGAAGTACCCTGGGTGATGTAGTTTCAGAATATATATAGTTATGTAGGTTTATCTCCAAAACCCTAGTTCGATAACAAACGGACAGACAGAGGCTACATTATATATAGAGAGAGATTATAACTAGTAGTAGTAGATAGGTGCCAAAGCTTTCAATAAACATTGAAGAAATACAATTCTATATTCCGAAACTTGTCCAATTTCAGACTGTGGGAACGACGACATTCTAATCATGTAAACTTAGAATAAAATTGCTGTGTTTATTATTTGATTTTAGATATCGATTCCTCGGTATTTGTATGATCTTCGTCCTGGGTAAGACGATAAACTTCTTCCGACAGCAAGGCCTCTCATCAGGAGGTTCTAAGGAGCATGGAACCACCTCTTAATTGCTGGTGTTCCAACGTCCACTCTAACCCGGGGTGGTAGCATCTGTCAGGGTCCCTGCTATGGGCAAATAGTTAAACCCCTAAAAGGGTTCAAAACACTATGACAGTATAAAAATAGGTTTTAATACCAGCAATACATTTTTGGAAAAAGTATTACCAGCAGCACATTTTTTAAAAACGAACAAAATTACCAGCAATACATTTCTGGAAAAAAAAATTTCCTAGCAATAAAAAGTTTGTCAGCATTAAATAATCTATTGAGGTTGATATACCGTAAAACAAAATATATCCAACATTATTTGCCTTCTTTTGATTTAATAATTGATTCATTTTTACGGCTTATCAACACTTTGAAGGTTATTTAAAGCCAGAAAATATTTTTTTTAGTTTGTATTTGGCGGCGGGTGATAATAATGATTCAATGATACAATTAAAGAAAGCAAGAAGAAGAGACTAACTATCAATTGTATGGTTGTGGACAGCAGACACAGCCGAAGATACAAGCTATGAACTGGAGAAGTCAGATTCATTGATTGATGCATTTTTACGGCTTATCAAGGCTATTTAAAACCACAAAATGTTTTAGATTCTAAGAATTTTTATTTTATGAGATAATAATTATTTGCCGTTACAAGCCTTACTAATTAACCCATAGCAGGGGAGAGAAGATTTGAACTATTCTCAAGCATTTTTGCGCGAAAGTGATTCTAACGAACTCAACTGAAATTGGAACTCGGCTCTCTGATTAACAATTCCGAGCCATTATTCATTACACCATCCGCACATCCAAGCTTAAAGCACCTGGTATTCACAAGTGGTCATTCATCTACATGATGTAGCCGTAAGTCCCATTTAAGCTTTTGTTGTTGTTGTTGTTGTGGTTTCCTTTGTAAAGAAAACCACAATGAGCAAACATACAAACAGAACATTTATTCATAGGAATAATGTTTCTTTCTTTGCTTTAAGACCACATCTCTCTTGCCTCGTTTTCGTCTGTGAGGAAACCGCCCAACATTCTTTGTCATTTTTCGTTATTGTTTCACTGCAAGCAATGTGAATAAAAAAGCCACTAACAAGACAGAAGACAACGATTGACATTGCATCTAAATTTTTGAAGATCAAACTCGCCTGGAAAGCAAGAAGCCAAGAGTTCCACAATCAAGAAGTGCTAGAAAAGTGCATAGAACTTAAGGTTACATCTAGCAATTTCAACTGATGAGACCTTTCTAGTACTGCGCTTTTAATTCATAAACTCTAGTTATCAAATAGGAAAGTTCATCAGAACAATTACGATGAAAGTATTTACAGAAAACGTACAGGGAAGCTATATTCTGGCGGTGTGCGAAAAAGACTGAAGCCGAAATTCTATGCCAGGACGAATAATATTGCAAATTCTTCTTTGAATTTTAACAAGAATCTCTAAATATATAGCAAATTGTCATTTTTACAGCATGGGTAAACTATTATGAATATAAGAATTTACGTGACATAAAATGAGTGGATCGTAATAAAAGGACCCCCTACGCCTATGAAAACTACTATTAAGAAGAGAGAACAATAACAGAAGAAGAATTAAAAAGACAGAAGTTAACGATTGACATTATATTTAAAACATTGAAGATCAATGTTAACGGAGAAGCAAGAAACAGAAAGGGGGTTCAACAAGCGAGAAGTGCGATAGAAGAAACTGTTAGCATAGAACTTACGGTTACATCTTCCCGTTTCAATTGTAAAATGATGAGACCTAACCGCCAATCTAGTATTGCGCTTAAATTCACGAAATCGAGATACAATAGCAAAATGCTTATCGGAACAATTGCAACGAAGGCTTTTATAGAAAAAGGCACAGAGAAGCTACGTTACGACGGTGATAAAATGACTGAAGCCGAGATGCCCGGTCAGGACCAGTAAGATTGCTGATGCTTTAGATTTTATCAAGATTCTCTAAATATAAAGCAGGAGCGCCGGGCAATATGTGGCAGCAATATTCGAGGCACGGACGAATGGTAGACTTATAAATATGGAAGATAGATTTGAGAGAGACGAATTGTCTAGCATGACTTTTTGGCAGCATATCTTGCAATGGATTCAATATAGTCTATCCACTTCATATCAGCCGAGAACGTTAACTGGAGAACGTGCAATGAGTCAGTCTCCTGGTGGATAGCATCAGCCATACTGATGGAAGATAGAAAGAGGTCTCTCAGATGATTAATCGAGAGCAGTTTTATTTTGTAGTCGTTAAAATTAACAAGCCATCCTTTACCCCTGTTAACAACAGACTGTAGGTCTTTTTTAGATCAGCTGTCAATTTGACCTTATCGAACTGAAGTGCCTTACTAGACAAGAGTAAATGGGTGTGTCATCAGCATAGATACTAAATTCAGAGTTGATTCCATCAGGAGGGGGGTCATTGATAAAAATAAAGAACAATGTAGAACAAGGAAAAGGCCCTGGGAGACACCTGCATGACTACGAAAGGATCTTTTAACCCTAGAACACTAACCATGGGTATATAGTACCCAGCATAAATTTTCCTATTTTTAATTACAATTTTCAGTACCTGATTTTCTTACCTAAATAATGTTTTTCAGTTCCTATTAACGTTAACTCAAAGTACAAAGTTTGAAGTGCCTGCATGTAAAATATTTCAAATAAAGATTTATATTTAACTAGGAGCATGGCCCGGCGTTGACCGTGCTTGATTCAAAAATCGTACGACTCATACAGCAATCGCTATCACTTGACTTGCCCTTCCTTGCCTTTAAAGGAGTGCCCTTTGACGTGCTGATGTTGCTACAGGCCTTAATTCTTGCCTATCTCACACTGCGAATTTTTTCTAAGCTCTATACTAAACATTAAATCTGTTATGAAAAAGAACTAAACAAAATGAACACAAAACGATCAGCTTTAAAAAAAGGACTCGTAACTGGAAAAACCGAATGAAAAAAGAATGTTAACAACAAATACTTTTTCACACCCAACCCAGTTCTGCGGAATCAGAATCAACGTTGAGTTTAAGCAAGCGAATGATCCAATTGGAGTAAAGTGCCATGCAGATTTAAATTTTTCCCACTTGTGACGAATGCAGCTATCGATTTGTTTTACATGCTAGCATGCTAGTTAACATTCGTGTCAGTCAGCTGTTGGCTCTCACGCTAGCCAATAGAATCTTCCTGTCTATTCGTGGCAGCCAGCTATTGGCTCTCACTCTGGCTAGTAGAAAATGGCCGCAAACTACATTAAAACTGCCGTAGAAGCATGAAAAAATCGATTATTTGGTGTTGGGTGTTGGGAAATGCAAAGTTGGTCTTGGCCTTCCCACTAACTTAGAGTATGTGCATATAACTTTTGGTGCAAATCCGTCAAAAATTGCGGCCGTGCATTCGTTACACACACACACATCCTGCCTTTTATAGATAGAGATATTTGTTTTTTGATATTTTCAAAATCGGGTATGATATACCCATGGTTAGTAGTGGTGTAACTTTAATTGATGGTTAGTGTTCTAGGGTTAATGAAATTTTGCCTTTTCTTAATACTTTGCTCAGCGTCTGTCTATATTCCTGAGATGAGGTATTGTAACTATTTACTCTATTTATTAAATAAAAGTTTCGGTTCAAAAATTTAAAAAAATATATCACCTAAAGAAGGCCTGAGCGTACCACGACTGAAACGTCGTTAATATGGCAATAAAGATGAGCATAACACACCGAACAGTGTAAATATTGTAAATACATTGCTTAGCTTTCCTTATTCCAATGGGCTTTCGTTTGTGTGTAATGTGACCTCATTCCTGCCTTGTTTTTTTTGTTTTTTTTATTCTGATGCAAATATTTAATAAAACTGTAAGCGTCCTGGGATTCCAAAGGAATTATTTGTCGCAGATTAATTCCACAACGCAGAGAAGAAATCACTGTAAGTTCAGACTCGAATATCGGGGGCAGAAAGAAATGCCGAAAACTCAATTCGCAGGTACTATCTCACAAATCCCAATGCACGTAACCAGTCAGTAAAATAACTCACTCTCCGACGAACGTGGTAGCCAAAATACCTCAATTTTAAAACTTCAGAGGAAGACTTCAGAGGAAGAACACATTCAACCTTTTTAATTCCGCAGAAAACTTTGTATGAGCAATTGCGTAATCAATATCGGCCAGTTTTTTTTGTATTATATGACTTGGCTATGACTACCGACACCATTATCAATCCCACAGTCCTCCTGCATCATCTAGAAAATACTGCCAGTGATGTCGGTTGTAAATGGCAACAAAATTTGGCTCGTTAACCATTGCACCATGCCGAGTTAGGATGGTAGTCTTTACATGGTTGGTGAATTCCTCTAAAACTGAATTCATAGGCTCCAACCAGCAAGGCTCAATACAAACTGCCTCGGGTGATTAAATAAAATCTCCGCGTTGAATCCATTTCGTGTAACAACCTTTGGTCTTTTTTTTTTAATTTTTTTACAAAAAATCGAAAATTGGCACTTCAAGCGTTCATTTTGCCCGCTTACCACGGCTACGCGTACGATGGTCGCGGCGACGACCACCACTGCGCGTACGAGGAGCGTTGAATCGCGCGGAGGGAGTCATCCTGCAGGCCAACACGTACTCGGGTTGCATCCCTGCCCACGACTGCGCGTACGAGGAGCGTTGAATCACGCAGACAGAGACGTCCTGCGGGCTAACACGTAATCGGGTCGCATCCCTACCCACGGCTGAGCGCACGAGGGGCGCTGAATCGCACGGAGAGAGTCGTCCTGCAGGACAACACGTACTTGGGTCGCATCCCTACCCACGGCTGCGCGTACGAGGAGCGTTGAATCACGCAGAGAGAGACGTCCTGCGGGCCAACACGTAATCGGGTCGCTTCCCTACCCACGGCTGCGCGCACGAGGAGCTCTGAATCGCGCGGAGAGAGTCGTCCTGCAGGCCAACACGTACTCGGATCGCATCCCTACCGGCTGCGCGTATAGAATCAGTGTTTTGACCCCTTTTAGGTGTTTAACTATTTGCCTATAGCTGAGACCCTGACAGTTGTCAGAGTGGACCTGGGAACACCAGCAATTAAGAGGTGATTCCACTCTCCTCAAAACCTCCTGATCAGAAGCATTGCTGTCGGAATAGAATAATAATCGACATCTTCAGTTGGATTTTCGACTTGTATATTTTAAAATTTTCACGAAAATAACTGGAAGCGAGATAAATTCGACATGAGTCGATGTGAAAATTCGCACAGCTAAAAAGCCTGGGCCGACATGAATAAAATGGATTTAATCTCGAAATCTGATCTTCCAGACATCCGCAAAGGGAGATTCTTTAGGGCCACTGTAGAGGCGGTTTTAATTTATGTTGAGATTGCTTGGAAATTAACTAAAATTCTGGAGTCTAAGCTTGATGGAATCTAGCTATAGTTAACATCTTTTGGAGACAACATTCAATTAAATCACAGCTCTATGGACCCATCCCAGATATTTCGACAATCTTACGCGAACGCAGAATGCGCTTTGCTGGATACTGCGGGCGAACAACACAAGAACTCGCCAGTGATCTACTGCTCTGGACACCGTGGAGCAAGACGATTTGGTCGCTCAACAACCACTTACATAGACCAACGAAGTCATGAAACCGAATGCCGCCCTAATGACCTCCCGACTTTGATGCAGGATCAGGATGGTTGGCGTGATAGACTTCTGATTGTCCGAGCAAATGAGCAACTAACATCCTTGTCATATGCAGTGATTATCGTATTTTCCGGCTTACAAGACGCTGCGGCTTAGAAGACACACCCTAATATTGGAAAGAAATTTCTAAGAAAAAAAAGTCATTCTCATACAATGACACATTAACCATGCGTCCCTCACATACTGGTGCTACATATTGTTTACATTAATCACTCATCAGATTTTGTTTGTATGGCAATGACATATTAATCAAGAGCAGAAAAGCTACCGTTACTACTAGTAAACAGAGTATGTTTAAGCTTGTAGCTAACATTATAGTGTAATGACTCAACATACAAATCCACGTCCCTATCAGTCAAGTCAATTAGGTGGCCGTCCGAGCTTACTTAAGCCTGGACGTTTCCTTACATTCGTCTTGGAAGACGCACACGTATTATTCAGGGTATTTTTAGAAAAAAAGTGCGTCTTGTAAGCCGAAAAATACGGTAATTCAAATAATAAATTGCACCCTTATTTAGAACCAAGCCACTGCTGCCCTCTTCCCGATTGTAGGTCTGTTGACTTTGCATGTCAAGTTAAGTTCGATGATTTAACTCATATCAACACTTGTTGATGCTGAATTCAGTGATTATCAAACGGAGGACTCAGTCGTAATCCTCGACCAGAATGACCTCGATGACCTTTTAACTCGCGCCGATTTAAGTTGATTGATTTTACGATACTTGTTCGATTAATCATTATTAAATTTTGTATGCAGCACCCGGTAAGCATTGAAATCATTACTCAGTTGTAAATGGCAACAAAACTAGGCTCGTTAACCATTGTACCATGCCGAGTTAGGATGGTAGTCTTTACATGGTTGGTTATCCAATGTCGAATTCTGTATGGGTAACCTGCTGGAATGAACTCACTACTCAGTAATAATGGTCCACCAGACAAGGCTCGTTAACCATTACCCAACGCACCTCCAACTAGTCTGAGTAAAGGGACGATCTATAAAGAAGGGCCACAAAGAGAAATCGGAGTGGTAAAATGGAAAGAGTTACTTAAAGCAACAAAATGCGGGAAGTTGTAGAGGACCGTGATTGCTAACCTTCTGAAAGGACATGATACCTAAAAGAAGATTTATGTAATTGATTTTGTGCAGATTTTTTTTTTCGACTCAGGAAACGTTTTCTGACTGTTTGTCGCTCCCGAGGCAGCGCTCACTGAAAACGAATATCGATTGGTTGCAGTAAAAGTATGAAAGAGAATTTTAGCAAATCGTGAGAAAAATTCAATATACGAAAGGCTTCGTTTTTAGTCGACAACCTGTAATTCAATGCTTTCACTTTGGCTTGATTCGATTTGCTTATAGCCACAAGCATCTTCCAATAATTCTTTTCAAGACAAGATTATAAAAGTACCGTATATACTCGTGTAATGTGCGAACCCCAAATTTTCGCTTATAAAATATGATTTTATCATGTATCTCGTGTATTATGAACGTTCGTTTTTGAAAGACCAAATAACAATAGACTAACCTCTACTTTTTTATCCCATCTTCGAGTTAAATAAGTTTAAAAAAAAAGTAAAAGGGAAAGATAAAAGTATCGTTAGTAACGCTATACTCGTTGCATAAACGTGTGCAGCCATAAACAACCGAACGAGAAACAGCTAAACATCTTATAAAAGTAAACAATGGAAAAGATCCATACTCGCTGTGCTTGTATTTTATAATACGACTAGCAGCATGGCCCGGCGTTGCCCGTGCTTGATTCAAAAATTGTATGACTCATACAGCAATCGCTATCACTTGACTTAAAATATTTTTGCCCTTCCTTGCCTTTAAAGGAGTGCCCTTTTCCGTGCTGATGTTGCTACATGCCTTACTTCTTGCCCATCTCACACTGCGAATTTTTTCTAAGCTCTATACTAAACATTAAATCTGTTACGAAAAAAGAACTAAACAAAATGAATACAAAACGACCAGCTTTAAAAAAGGACTCGTAACTGGAAAAACCGAATGAAAAAAGAATGTTAAAAACAAATACTTTTTCACACCCAACGCAGTTCTGCAGAATCAGAATCAACGTTGAGTTTAAGCAAGCGAATGAGCCAATTGGAGTAAAGTGCCATGCAGATTTAAACTTTTCCCACTTGGGATGAATGCAGCTATGGATTTGTTTTGCATGCTAGCATGCTAGTTAACATTCGTGTCAGTCAGCTGTTGACTCTCACGCTGACCAATAGAATCTTCTTGTCTATTCGTGGCAGCCAGCTATAGGTTCTCACTCTGGCCAGTAGAAAATGGCAGCAAACTACATGAAAACTGTTGTAGAAGCATGAAAATATCGATTATTTCCACTATCGATGGGAGTTGGGAAATGCAGAGTCGGTCGTGGGCTTCCCGCTAACTTGAAGCATGTGCATGTAAATTTTGGTGCAAATCCGTCGAAAATTGCGGCCGTGCACTCGTTACACACTCATACACATCCTGCTTTTTATAGATAGAGATTCTAATATGTTAGTATTATATGCATTATTATTGGATACAGTTAAGTAAAACATTAGTTTTATCAAACTCATGTTTATTTTAAATACAGCTGTATTTTTTGACTCCAGTAAATGGATATATATTTTTTGGTCAACGGGGTAACCAGGGCCAGTAGTAAATACACTAATTTTATATCTCATGTATAATGCGACCCCCTTAAAATTAGCTTCAAAATTAGGTCTTCAAAAGTTGCATGATACGTGTGTATATACGGTACATATTCCGAATATCTTCGATAAGCCCCAGCGAATAACGATATAGTCTTTTATAGTGGAACCAAAATTTGAGGATACTTCTCTCTGTTTATAAACCATTCCTTCAGAACACTGCTCTCCACAACTTCCTATCCTTTGTAGCTCTAAGTAATGTTTGCTTCCGGACTATCCTACTCAGGCTTTGTCCCATTTACACAAGATAGATTACTCGCAGTTTACCTTTGTCCGTCTCGCCTTCAGTATGTCTTGTGAGTGTCGAATTCGCCAAGCCTTCTTTCTCTATTATCTGTTCAAGTGATTTCAACTGTCCCTTATTAATTCTAAGTGCCAGTGTTTTTTTTCTTCATGTTTTCCTTAGAACTACCTCATTATTCACATTTTCTGTCCATGTCATTCTCATTATCCTTCTGTAGAGCAATATTTTTGTTAGCTCAAGGCTTGCAACCACATCACGTCGAAACACCGGTTCACGTACGATCTCAAAACAATTTTTACAATTTAAAAGTATTTCTGGCTTTAAATAACCTTCAAAGGGTAGATAAAAAAACAAATCAAAATCAATCTCTTGCTTCAAGTCTTTTTGTTTCCAGTTTCTCTAAAACTTTGTTGTTTCTCACATGTTGATCCATGGTATCTTTTAACATCCTTCTGTGGATCATTTCTGTTGCTATATAGCCTCTTCTCCATCTTTGAGGAGGTTGTGCAGCATTCACTGCCATATAGGAGGACTGATATTACGTAACAATTCAGTACTCTGTTCTTTGTTTCTATTGCTTCAAGTCTCATCTTCATCTGTGAGGAGATTGTCCAGCATTCACTGCCATATAGGAGGACTGATATTAGGTAACAGTTCAGTACTCTGTTCTTTGTTTCTATTGCTTCAAGTCTCATCTTCATCTGTGAGGAGATTGCCCAGCATTCACTGCCATATAGGAGGACTGATATTAGGTAACAGTTCAGTACTCTGTTCTTTGTTTCTGTTACTTCAAGTGTCTTCATCTGTGAGGAGATTGTCCAGCATTCACTGTCATATAGGAGGACTGATATTAGGTAGCAATTCAGTACTCTTTTCTTTGTTTCTAACGAAAAATTCTCTATTTCTTAATACTTTGCTTATCTTTTGGAAGGCATATTTCTGTATACCAATTCGCCTTCGGATTTCAGTGTCACACTTTCCGTTTTCTGTTGAAACGCTTCCCTGATATTTAAATTGTTGTACTTACGGTATCTCCAATTCGTAATTTGCATGTTCGGCTGCCTTCTTTGCTGACAACCATTTGTAAACTTTGGAGTATAATTCCTGAGAACAAACTATTTGCTACCACCTTTTCCTATTTAAAAACTCATTTATATTAGTCAGCCATCTTCACAGTCCCGTTTCTTCTTCTTCTGCTTAACTTTTTTGTTTGTTTTATTCTGAACTACTATAAATTTTGTATTTATTCCATATTTCTAGCTTCACCGTTTTGGCTTTCAGTGCCATATCGGGGGATTCTTGTTCTTTATGTGCCGTGTCACTTCAGGACGAT